ATTTAAAAATAAATGAATAAATAAGCACAAATAAGATAATATTTGCTTCCACTCAGGTCATTTTCAACCGTTTATATGCAATAAAGTCATACAAAAGCTATTCTAATTGCAACTGTTTTTAAATTTAAGGTATTTTTGGGGAAAAATTATTACTTGCAGCGTCCGGATATCGTACAGACTTCAATTATGTGAAAATATATGAATTTTTTTTCTCTCTTGTACACAGAGAGAAAATAGCAGAGGCGACCACAAGTTGTGAGGCTAACTACAATGTGTGGTTGATGGCATCTATGATTAAGGCCTCGTTTGGGACGGCTTTTATATTGCTTTTCTAAGTAGCTTTTTAGAATTTTTATACTAAAAAATTGCTTTAAAAAACAATAAGAAAATCATCTCAAACGAAGCTTAAATAGCCAAAATTTATCTGACTAATTCTTCTGGCTTATGGATGGTTTAGTTTATCTAAGCTATGTGCCATGAGGTCTTTGGCTGAATATGATGAATCTTTGTGGTGCATGAGGAACTCTAGTAAAATTTGTAATATTTGATGATAATAACATCAAAATTATTTGAAATTTAACTGCTAATGCATTTAACTTTCGATTGTCCATATCCAATTAAATTATATCTTGTTGCGTGCTAGAATATACGCGGCGGTAGAGTTTATAAATTTGCATCCTAGCATTATACGAGTATTCGACACACAAGCAGAAAAGAGAAGTGAACACCAAGATTTTTATGTGAAAAACCCGAAAGAGGGAAAAAACCACGGGGCCTCGCCCAGTTGCAAAGTTCCACTAGTATTTGTTTGAGGTACAAAGGTTGATCCGTCTTACAAATCAAGACGATCAATTTACAATCAACTTCTCACAAAGTTACAAAGTTCTGCAGATTCCAGACGTTTCCCGAAAATCCGGCAGAGTTCCGGCGTCTTCAGGCGGCAGGAAGAGCTCCGGCGGTGGTCGAGGAGGAGCTTTTTCCTTCTCCTCCTTATTCTCTTCTTCTTCTCTCTCTTCCCTTGAGTCCTCTCTTGTGAAGAATGAGGGCTCTATTTATAGATTTTCTGGAGTGGCATTGACCGTAAATAGGCGTGAGATCAGGGGCGAATAGGGAGAGGTTGAATTGACGGTCGATATTGAATCCTACGATCGTACACCGTTCGTTGGTCATTTCAGGGCCTTAGTGATGTCGGAATTCAGTGATCTTAGGCTCGTTGGATTCGTCTCGTCGAGCCGTTCAATTCGAGTATAAGCTCGTCAAAATCGGAGTCCGTTTGGTAACTCAAATTGTGGTTTGAACCTTCCAACAGCGCTTTGGGTCTATGATTTAGACCCATTTGGGCTCGGATTGGTTAGAACTTTGTCTCGTTGGGTTCGTATTTCCGAGACGCTCAGTTTCACTATAAGTTTGCTAAAATCGGAATTGATATGGTCTCTGAATTAATTTTTGAAGTTTCCAACTCAATTTTGCATCGAGATTCATGCCCGATCAAGATGATTTTTTTATGATGTATCATATCTATTGTCTTCTGAGAATCCATACCAACAAAAAGCTTATGAGCTGCTTAACAAGGGCAGCATCCAAGCTCTTTCTTTTAAATATGTCTCTCCATTTATTTGGAAAGATTATTAAGTGCGGAGACTGGACAGAATCATCCGATTTTATCTCTGTGAACAATAAAAATGCAATTACAGTTTATCACTATGCTTTTATTGTTCATCATTGTGCTTTCACTGTTCACAACGACAAAACCGAACGATTCTCTATATCCGATATTCACACGTAATTATCTCTCCCATATTTGCTTTACATACTGACTGGGAGCTTTGATGTTAGTGAACTTTCAGAGCGACTGTTGCTTTGGTTTTTGAGAATAATAGGCAACCCAGAGTCCATTAATGCTCATTGGTCTATTGGATGTTAGCATTTTGGCCCATTATTCAATCTAAGGGTGTTAATTTTTGACACGAACCGAAATACGATCCGAACATGACACGGAAAAATTCAGGTTAGGGTCAAATAGGACCTGAAAAGGGTCGGGTTCGGGTTCAACAATTCAACCCGTTTTAAAAATGACCCAGCAACTTGAAAATGACAAAAATTGACACGTAAACTCCTATTTGACCCGGAAACCCGAGATTAACTCGAGATTGACCCGAAAACTAGCAATTATAGGTCAACTTCAGGTCATTCGTGTCGAGTCAGGTTGACCCGGACCCGAATTGGGTAGGGTTCGGGTCCGGAAACCTAACCGGTTTTTAAAAACAGTTCGGGTTGACCCGAATAGTGCCGGATCAGTTCCGGATTCGATCCGAACCCGACCCGCTGACCCTAATTGACACCCCTAATTCAAACAATTGAACCATCAATGAGGGTTCAAATATCAACTTTAAGAATGATTCCAGAAAGTCCTTTATGCTGAAGAACAAGTGATAAATATTGGTCTGTTCCTGTTAATATTAGAACTGGAGAAGTATATGCCACATACTTTTAGTTCAACAAAGGGTTGATAACATTGAAGAATACATGCAAAGTGGGACATTAGATGAACAACTTCTATAACAGTCAATACTTTGAAGTGTTATGGAAATCACTTTGCAATAAGTGCGTTACAAATTGGAGTGCAAATTCTTTAATTTAGGAGGTTTTAAAAACTATTTGGGGAGTTCAAAGTGAATCTTTTTCAAATTAAATGACATAATCTAACATATGTGACAGAGTGTTTTAAGAATTTGCTTAAATTTATTAAAATATTATTTTAAAAATTATATATAGAATCACTTTGCTCCACATATTATGTGATTTGAATTCGGAGATAGTTGTTTATAGATATGAAGAGAGTCTTCTTATGAAGAATTTTATATATGGATAGATAATTCAGAAGACCATCTTTTTCTCAAACATATTTTATATTATTTTAATAAATTAGATGCTCTTTTTTTTTTTTATGGATGAGATAATTCAGAAGACCATCTTTTCCTCAAACATATTTTAAATTATTTTAATAAATTAAATGCTCTTCTTTTTTAACGGGGGTATCGACCCGTTGACACGCCAAAGGGAGCTCTTGGCGGCGTAACTAATTCATAGGCGGAACCTAGTGAGGCCACCCACCGACATTGGGCTCACACTTGCTTTGTCCCACTGAATAGGCTTAAGACGTAGTAGAGGGGATTTGAACCCGGTGTTGACCTCGTTTTATTCTAGTTTGTTCTCGAGCAGTTTCGAGTTAATTAATTGAACCTCGTTGAGCCCAAATAGAGCTCAAGTCGAATTAGACTCGATCAGGTTTAATTAACCTCGATCGCATTTATGAGATACATTTCGTGGCTATCAGGGTTTTCTCTAGTTCACACAAGCACGACGAATTATTACGTCCGGTAACCGAATGCCCAGACACCTAATCCAGACTCGCCACATCACTTGAATACACAGTTCCAGTGTATTTTGGTGAGGTGGCACATTTGGATAGGTGTCCGGACGAATCCGAACACCGACCGTAATAATCAAGGAAAAAGTCAATGGTAAAAGAAAATTTGTCTCAACCGATGTAAAATACTCATAAAAAGTTATATCATCTAACTCATGTCAAATCAAGTTAAGAAGAGAATCTGGGTTGATCGGCCTCCCAAAGGGACAATGGCTCCCTACTTTTAATCATAGTTAATGACATCTCTAATAGCTACATTCAATAAAGAAAAACATGCAAGTGTTTTGATTTGGCATGATTAACATCAAGGAAAACTATGATTCTAAGATAATTAATGCTTCGAAATGGATCAATCAACAAGGAAGAGAGTGAATCACCATAATCAAATGAGATTACTACCTTTACATATAAAAAATATATATAATAATGACATTTGATTCATCAAAAGCCAAAAATAAAATCTAGAAATAACTTCAATTAGGAGTTTATGGGTCCATTATTTAAGGCTATCAAATTTGAAATCACTTAGTTTTGAAGATAGTTAACACAACCCAACTATTAGGCACTCTCTTAATGATCATGAATTAGATCATCCAAAGTTAGCAATGAGGTCTCAAAATGAGAAGAAAAAAGCATTTCATATTTAGGCATTCAATTAATGCTTTAAAACTTTTGAATATGCTTTGAACCTTTGATTTAAGCCTATTTAATCTGGGATTGAACTGATTTTGATGTTGTTGGGTTCGTCTCACTAAGATGTTCTTTGTGACTATAAATTTGTTGAAATTGGTGTTCGAATAATACAACAACAACAACAAGCCTTTATCCCACTACGTGGGGTCGGCTACATGAATCCTTTTTCTCCATTGTGTCCTATTAAAAGTCAAATTCTCGTTTAAATCTAATAAAGAAAGGTCATTCCTAATATTTTCTAACTAAGTCTTTTTAGGTCTACCCCTACCTTTCTTAACATAAATCAAATCTAATACCTCTACTCTCCTAACCGGGTCATCGCAAGGCCGCCGTTTTATGTGACAAAACCATTTAAGGCGACTTTCTCTAATCTTATCTTCTACTGGAGCTACTCCAACATTTTCACGTATATGCTCATTTCGTATCCTATCTCTAAGGGTAAAGCCACTCATCCACCTGAGCATCCTCATCTCTACCACACTTAACTTAGTATTATGCTTCTCTTTTAAAGGCCAACATTCGGCACCATAAAGCATTGCAGGCCTCACTACCATCTTATAGAATTTTCCCTTAAGTTTGAGGGGTACATTTCTATCACATAACAAGCCCGATGCATTCCTCCACTTCAACCATCCAACTTGAATTCTGCTGATAATCTTGAATTTAATTTTGAAAGTTGCTAATTAAGATTTGCATCGAAATTCATGCTGAATCAATTCTATTTATATTAAGATGATCAATATTGTAATTATATTTATTGATTAATTTCTTAATTCATATGATTAAATAAATATAATTTTATAATTTACAATATTTATATTTATTTTTAAATTAATAAACGTTTCCCAAAATAAAAAATAAAAAAGAAGAAGCCAAAACCATTCTTTTCTTCATCCGCCTTCCCTCGCTCGCCGTCATCGTTAATTCCGTCAGCGGCCTTTCTGGTTTGGATCCACCACCAATCCTCGTACACATTCACGACAACAATCTGCAAAACATCGTCACTCTTCAGATCCAAGCTTCGTTCCTCACATCACATGGCCTTCGGCGATGATGATACCCCCTCACTGCCCCTCAATGAAGACAAGGATCCCTCCGCCAGTCCATCAAACCCAACGCGATCCCTCCCAACAGAAGCCGACGGCGCAGCGTCAATCGAAAGCATCACTCACAAAATCCAAGAATCCCTCTCCGTGAGCAAGCGGCACCGCTTCTGGGAGACCCAACCGGTCGGCCAATTCAAAGATCTCGGCGACGCCTCGCTCCCCGAGGGCCCGATCGAGCAGCCGATCACCTTATCGGACGTAAGACCAGATACCTACACCCTCCCTGCCCTCTACGAGTGGTCTACCTGCGACGTCGACAACGATGCCACGGCCGCCGAGGTCTACACCCTCCTTGCTAACAACTACGTTGAAGACGATGACAACATGTTTCGCTTTAACTACTCGAAGGAATTCCTTCGCTGGGCTCTCCGCCCTCCTGGCTACTTCAAGGCTTGGCACATTGGTGTTCGCGTCAAGGCGAACAAAAAGCTAGTAGCTTTCATTACCGGCGTTCCTGCTAGGATTCGTGCTGGAAACGAGGTGGTGCGAATGGCAGAGGTAAACTTCCTCTGCGTCCACAAGAAGCTGAGATCCAAGCGGCTTGCCCCTGTTCTCATCAAGGAGGTCACCCGCCGTGTCCATCGCGAGGATATGTGGCAGGCGGCGTACACGGCCGGCGTTGTCCTCCCGACGCCAATAGCCACATGCCAATATTGGCATCGGTCCCTTAACCCAAAGAAGCTCATTGATGTGGGGTTCTCCCGTCTTGGCGCGAGGATGACCATGAGCCGTACCATCCGGCTCTACAAGCTTCCGCCTTTGCCAGCCACCCCTGGGTTTAGGAATATGGAGTTCCGTGATGTGCCGGCGGTAACGGCGCTGCTCCGGGATTACCTGTCCAGGTTTGTAGTTGCGCCAGATTTGGATGAGAAGGACGTTGAACACTGGCTACTGCCAAGGGAGGATGTGGTGGATAGCTTTTTGGTTGAGAGCCCTGATAGTCACGAAATCACTGATTTCTGTAGCTTTTATACACTTCCATCTTTAATACTCAATAATGCAACTTACTCGAACTTGAAGGCGGCATATTCTTTCTACAACGTGGCTACAAAGACACCTCTTTTGCAGCTGATGAATGATGCACTCATCGTTGCGAAGCAGAAGGGTTATGATGTCTTTAATGCATTGGATGTTATGGAGAATGAGTCCTTCCTGAAGGACCTGAAGTTTGGGCCAGGAGATGGGATGCTTCACTACTATCTGTACAATTACCGTCTTAAACATGCTTTGAAGCCTTCTGAACTTGGGCTAGTTCTTTTGTAGACTCTGACGTGCAACTCATGTTTTTAATGGTAAATTATTACTTGATTTTTTTTTTGCCGTGTTTTGTTTTCAATGAACACTGCATTTCTTGCCATTCTGTCCTGTTTTTTGTGCGTCAAGATAGTTTTCTATGAAATTATGAGGCTTAACTATTCTAGTTATGTTTTATGTTATTTGATAGGTTAAGTACTTGCAGGATGTAAAAATATTTTTGTCTGCTTATCATGATAATCTGTTGGCCATAATATCTAATATTGAACTTCTTATTGTTTGTTTATGCCTTTACATACCCTTAGACATTGTTTAGCTAATATTAGGATTTAGGACAACAACAACAACATCAAGATTTTGTCCCACTACGTGGGGTCGGCTACATGAATCCTTTTTCTCCATTGGGTCTGTTAAAAATCAAATTCTCATTTAAATCTAATAAAGAAAAACTATTTCTAATATTTTCTAGCAAAGTATTTTTAGGTCTACCTCTACCTTTCTTAACCTAAGTCAAATGTAATACCTCAACTTTCAAGCCCTCCGTTTAATGTGACCAAACCATTTAAGGCGACTCTCTCTAATCTTATCTTCCACCGGAGCTACTCCAACCTTTTCACATATATGCTCATTTCGTATACTATCTCTAAGGGTCAAGCCACTCATCCACCTAAGCATCCTCATCTCTGCAACACTTAACTTAATATTATGCTTCTCTTTTAATGGCCAACATTCAACACCATAAAGCATTGCAGGTCTCACCACCATCTTATAAAATTTTCCCTTAAGTTTGAGGGGGACTTTTCTATTGCACAATAAGCTCGATGCATTCCTCCACTTCAACCATCCAACTTGAATTCTGTTGATAATATCCCCATCAATTTCACCATCACTCTGAACAATAGATCTAAGATATCTAAAACGTGTACTCTTATTAATGACTTGATCGCCCAAAGTTACAATCCCCTCACTAGGTCTATTACTACTAAAATTACACTCCATATATTCAGTTTTAGATCTACTCAAGCGAAAATCTTTAGACTCTAAAGTTGACCTCCATAATTCAAGTTTACTTTCAACTCCCTCTCTAGTCTTATCAACAAGAAGAATATCATCAGTAAAAAGCATACACCAAGGTACATCCTTTTGCAAATGTCTAGTGAGAACATCTATGACTAAAACAAAAAGATATGGATTTCAGGCTGATCCTTGATGTAATCCAATCGAAATAGGAAAATACTTGGTCAAACCACCTTGTGTTTGAACACAAGTAATAGTTCCTCTATACATATCTTTAATGATTTGAATATAAGCATTATTAACTCCTTTCTTTTCAAGAACTCTCCATAGCACTTCTCTTGAAACTTTATCATATGCTTTCTCTAAATCAATAAATATCATATGTAGTTCCTCCTTATTCTCTCTATATTTCTCCATCAAACCTCTCAATAAATATATGACTTCAATAGTAGACTTATCCGGCATGAATCCAAATTGCTTTTGAGAAACATTTGTATCATGCTGCAACCTACACTCTATAACTCGCTCCCATGGTTTTAAAGTATGACACATTAACTTAATTCCTCTATAATTCATACTCTTGTGCATCACCTTTATTCTTAAAAATAAGAATTAACACACTCATTTTCCACTGATTTGGCATCTTTTTAGTTTTTAAAACTATATTAAAAAGTCTAGTAAGTCAAAAAATTCCTTCATCTCCTAAGTATTTCCACATCTCTATTAGAATATCATCAGGTCCAACAGTTTTTCCACACTTCATTTTCTCTAAAGCCTCTATAACTTCGGTTTTACTTATACGCCGATAAAAATAAAAATATTTATTTCCATTTAGGGTGATAAAATCACTAAAGTCAATCGTATTTTCACATTCTTCATTAAAAAGTTTAGCAAAATATCTCATTCATCTTTGTTGAATATCATCTTCTAAGAAAAATATTTTTTGATCTTCATCCTTAATACACTTCACTTAAACTAAATCCTTACTACTATTTTTTTGTTTGGCTAACTTATACATATATCTTTCTCCCTCCTTAGTATATTATCTATTATATAAATTATTAAAAGCTAAGCTCTTTGCATCGCAAATAGCTTTCTTAGATTCATTACGAGTCTCTTTATAGTTTTCCCAATTATCAGAATTTTTACATCTAAACTAATTTTTATAACAAATCTTATTATTTTTTATATTTTCTTGCATATTTGGATTTCACTACCAACTATTTTTACTATTAGGAGCTTTTTCCTTCGAAACTTCAATAACATCTTTTGCAATATTCTTAATATCACAAGACAAATTTTTCCACATAATATTGGCATCCTCATGCACAGAAAAAATCTTAAGAATTAAAATCTTACTCTCAAAAATATTTTTATTAATATTCTTTAAATGCCCCCATATAATCTTAGAAAATCGTTTTATTTTATTATTTTATTTTTTGTCACTTTATCTTAAAGTCCAAAATTAATAATCGAAGTTGGGTACATAAATTTTTACTCAGAATAATTTTACAATCTTTGCAATCTTAACGATCTAATTTTCTTATATAAAAATAAATAAATCTGCGTTTTGCTATATCCATTTTTATAAGTGATAAGATGTTCATCTCTTTTCTTAAATAATGTATTAGCTATTAAGAAATCATAAGTTAAAAAAAATCTAATATAGTCTTACCATCTTCATTTGTCGTTCCAAACCCATTACGACTATGAATGCTTTTAAAATCATCTACTTCTTTACCAACATGTTCATTTAAATATCCTCTAATAAAAACTCTTTGTTCATTAGGTATATTTTGTATTAATTCTTCTAATTCATTCCAAAATTTTAATTTTGAACTCATATCCAAACCTACTTGAGGAGCATAAACACTTATAATATTAACAATCTTAACATCAACAACAATCTTTAAAACTATAATTCTATCTCCAATTCTGTTAATTTTTATAACATTATCCTTCAAACTTTTATCTATGATGACATCTACATAATTTCTAATACGACGCCTACCCGAATACCATAGTTTATATCCTAAATTATTAATCTCTTTAGCTTTCTCTCTAACCCATTTAGTTTTTTGAATGCACATAATATTTATCTTCTTATGAATCATAGTATCAATTAATTCTATTAATTTCCCTGTAAGTGAGCATATATTCTAAGTTTTTATCTTAATTTTAGTTTCATAGATTAGCTTCTTTGCCCACATTTGTCATTGCCTTTCCTATTTATCACTGCACCCGGACGTCGGTGCAGCTGCCCTTGCACACTTGTCATTGTATTCAGGCCATATAACGCGTCGCTTCCAGGGGACATCCTAACATTGACACAATTTTTTAAAGGATTCATGTCATGATTATTCGACAAGTTTTACGCTGGCTGTCGACTACCTAACGCAACCCTCCACTTTTCTCATACAGGACTTGGGACCGGCAACGACAGTGTTATATTAGGATTTAGTAAAATCATATAATTCTAAATTTAGTAAATCTTAAGGGTGTTAAATTTTGGAAATTGTTTGGTATATAGCTATTAAATTCGATTAAATTTTGATAAACTATTTGGCTGTTTATTTCAGGGTTTATGATTTAATTGAATATGAAATTTAGCTGAGAACTTAAAAAAATGCTAGAATTGGTGTTAAGCTTGAGTATAGTGAGTTATAATATAATTAACATATTACATAGAATTTTGAATGTATTAGTAGTTTATTAGAATTTATATTGTTAATTAAGATATTAATCCACTCATGTGTATTCATTGAAGTTCATGTGGTGTGGAAGAAAATACTACATGATAGGAGATGTGTCTTTGAAGTTGAGATGGTGGTTAGATTTAAAGTCGAGAGAGATGTTAGAGGCGGAGTAGGACTTCATGTCGGATGAGATTTATTGAGAGGTTGTCATTAAGATGCATCGATAGAGAAGAGAGATCGTGAGTCATAAGAGAGCCTAGGTTGAGCAAGAGAGAGACGGAGATGAGAGTGAGATCTTGTTAAATCATGGTTGGGCGAGGATTAACTAAATGCTGCTATTCTCAAAACGGGAGTTGGAATGAGATTTAACATAAGAGTAAGGTATAAGTTCCCCAAAAAACTAATTGGTAGGATTCATCTCAAATCTTGGCTAGATCTTGCTTAAATCTTTGTACCAAATAACCCCTTAATGATGTTCATTGATATTTATTCTCATTAAGAATGTTGAATGGAAGTCTAACTATTTTTTTATGACTAGAATTGAATGAAATTTGATAAAGTTCAATTTAGTACAGGTGGTTGTTTTAATACAGTAACTCGCTAAATGGATTCTTTTTTTGGTTCTCCTCTTACTATGGTTGATATCATAGCTTTGCTATCAACTTAGGTTTAGCTTATGCTTGATCTTGATGAAATGTGATCATTGTTGACGTCCAAATCTGATTTAGTGCGATCAACATGATAGATTTGTAGTGGAGATTGTTGAACTCATGTAATCCATGAAGCTATGTGACAAAGAAGAGGAACTTTCATTGGAGAGGTAGATGGAATTTTATCAAGCTTGGTGTTACATAGCTTGAATGGTGTTGTGATGGACCGGACCGGCCGGTCCATCCTCCATCCGCACCGGCCCACAAGGGGCCGGTTCTCGCCTTTTACAGGCGGAGAAATCGCCCGCCTGGGCGTTCGGCCGAAGGAGAGGGAGGAGGCGGGTGGGCCCAAGGGGGCCACCAAATGTAAGTGAGAGTTTGTTTTGTTTGCCCTAGGGGTAATTAGGGTATTTTGGGGGGTTTCATGTGAGGGTTAAAGGGTAGTTAGGGTTGGTTTGAGAGGGATCTTGTTATGGTGGCTGTTTTAGCTTTCTTCTTCTCTAGGGCTTGGGAGAAAGCTTCTTTTCTCGAATTGAGAGCATTGTATCCGTGGAAACTTGTAAGTCTTTTGATATTTAATTAATCGAAGTGTTTGTGAGTGTTTTAATCCAAGAAATCCTACATTTTTCCACTGTTTTTGGGCTGTTTTTCCTGGATTCCGAATTTTTTGCAACTCAAGTTCCATCATGTTACTTATGGGATCTAACTCATTATCTATTTATTTTGCTTCGGATGGCTTTCTTAGCGTGGGAGATGTCTCCAACTTGTTGGCATTCCTATCTGCCTAAATTAAGCATGCTTTAGTATGCATGGTCTGTAATTTACAATAGATCTTTTTTCTATGCAGATTATGAGTTGCAAAAATGATCTTTGATCTATTGTCTTATCTGCTATCAAATATTGTATTTTGATAGTATATTTATTCAATTTTGAAGATATAACAGTGATGATTGCCGTTATGGGTTATATTGGCCGAGAAATATTGTATTTTATTTCTTAGCTTTTGTTTAGTCTATTTGGTTGGCATAATTTCAATCTTGATTTAGCTTAGTTTAATTCTCACAAAAGTTTGTGGAGATTATGGTGAACCATACTATATCTTCATGTCATTTTGAGTATCAGGGGATTAGTTTTCTTTATCTGCTTTCAAAGTTAAAATAATAATAAAGAGGTTGGGTTTTGGGTTGTGGGCAGTGTGACTTCGGAGTTAGAGTATTCTCTGTCGTGGATTTTCCACCTTTCTGCTGATCAAGTGGTGTTTTTGCATCATTGACACATTGTAGGTCTTTTATGGGTGAGCAATTGGATGTCTTTTGCAGGAATTGTGTGACTTGTACTTATAATGTAAAAGATTTATAATTTCATATTCAAATTGAGTTTAATTGATTGAGGGATTTAAAAATTATTTTGAAAATTAATTTAAATTTCATTTGGGGTTGATTATATGCAAATCTATGTTATGAGGAATTTATGAGTGGTGTGTTGAATGTAATTAAAATTCTTGGGTTGAATAAAATTTCTCGTTCTAGTTCAATATTGTGAGTGTAAATTGTATGTGTGATTTTGTTAAGTGTTGCACAAGTTTGATTACTTGATTTTGAGGAAAGCCATCTTCTTTTTAACTATGCGAGGTTTGATTTTTCTGAAGTAAATTTGTTCCTTGAATTTCTTTCCAATTTCTCACAAAAAATCTTATTTTCTACAATTTCATTATCAAATTGGTTTTAATTGTAGTATTTTTTTTTGTTTTCATTTAAAAAGGAGCAGTTGGAATTGATAACTTGTCATTTGTGAATCCTTAATGTTTTTTTTTTTGCATGAATGCATACTACATATCACATAGTAAATGCATTATGAAATTCTAACTTTGAATTGTTCTACATCACTAGTAATGTAGTGATCAAGTTGGATTGGATTATAATCTCCTAGCCCTGTGAAGTTTGTTCCATCTTACCTAGTTAATTTTATTTCAGGATTTGGTCTTGCATCTCATGCCTAATTAGATTTGATCTGTTGGAACGATGTAAGGCAATTAATTGAGGCATTACATGCCTGGATTATTTGATTAGATTATTCAAAAGGGACTAGTCTTCCATAAAAAGTCGTGAGAGATTGTGTTGTAAGGCAAGCTCCTAAAAAATTCTTCCCTGTCTCTTTTGGTTCACAACACTTCTATTGGCCTCCTTTGATTTCGATATTGTTTAGGATCAAACCTGGCAAAAATAATTTCGTGCATTTACTTCAACTGTTGTTCAATAATTGAGCTCATATAGTACTCTACATTTACTTTGCCTTGCATTGTAAAAGCACATGTTATTAACAGTTCCAACCAAACAACATCGTAAAAGTCAACAGAACATTTCAAAGTTTCCCAAAAATATTGGTAAATGTCAATTCAATATTTGTAGTAAGTAGGAGAAAAATTTTCTAGATTCTTTTTATTGAAGACAGCTTTATTCTGCGCATATTACTTGCAAGCGTTACTCATAGTTTTTATTTCAAGGAACAGAAATGCTTTCCATCTTGATAAATTGATTATGGTTTTGTTTGAGACGGCTTTCTTAATGCTTCTTAAAGCAGCTTTTTAGTAATTTTTGTACTAAAAAGATGCTTTAAGAAGCAATAAGAAGAAAGTCGTTCCAAACAAAGCCTATATCTTCAATATATCTTTTTGCATCTTATATATATGAGTACAGTTGTGCATGGTTATTGTGGACTAACATCATATTGACATAGATATATCATAAAAATGACGAGAAGAAATTTAATAATTTGTTGAACATATATTGTGAATTGAATGAACGGTAAAAGCAGTTCTATTTTAGAAATTGAGTAGCGGTTTGTAGTATAATAAGATTTTCACAATCAGCAGGACACTTTAAGCACTAAGGCACCTCGGAATAGAGAGAACTCTTAGTAGTTGGAAATAGGTCCCTGTTCCACCAGTTCATACGGGACCGGCCTAGGTGGAACAAAGGCGGAAGTTCCACCTCTCCTGTACGTGTCGAATGATCCGCCCACTTCAATGGAGCTGTTTAGGAAGGATTTTTTAGGGAGTTAGGAGGGAATTTTGAATGTAGAGACTGTTTAGAGATTTTCTTTTTTATTGTATGCATTGAATAGTTTGTTTTCCTAGGGTTAGGGCATCTTGAATTTTTCTGAAACTTGAGATATCTTAGGTTTAGGTTTTTGGGCTCTAGCGGCGTCTAGAGATTTGAGAGAGATAGATCCTCCTCTCGAATAGAGGATCAATTGTATCTTGTTGTTTTTCTTAAGATTATTCCAATAAAAACTATTGCTTTTTCTGTTTTTCCTTTGGATTGGTTGATCGTTCTCGCTGTTTTTGTCAAGATCGTTAGGTTTCACTTAGGTTTCACTTAAGATCTCAATTATTTCCTAACAGTCCCACATTGCTTCCTTCAATGTATAAATGATTAAAGCATTTAATGGCAACGGATTTTTGAATAGAATAGCTTCCACCTTCACAAACCGAAGAAGATTCAACTTGTTGAACTAATGTTGTTGTGGCATAAACTTGACAATCATGTCTTGGCACACGAAAGCAAGAAATGCCATTGATGCAGGCAAATAACCAGAGAAGAGTACCTTGTTCATGTCATCATATAGAGTTGAGGCTTATATCTTCCACATTTCTTGCTCCACTCTCGTTGTTAATTCCCAAAATGTTTTGCATATACGAACTTAAAACCTGTAAATGCTGGCAAGCTTATTTGAACATTATATATCCTGTTTTTCCCTTTGCAAACATCTATAGTACAAAAAAGGTGCTTCCTTGCATTGTCTGAAATTATTCTTGTTATGGGCTACTTTGCAGTGCTGGTAAGCTTCAGAACTCGGTTTTTTGTAATTTCTTATATTTATGTTGAAATTCTGTGGAAATGTTTAGCCAAGATAGTGTAATTCTACAGAATCATTTCAGTCTCAACAGCCTCAGAACTTTCATTTTTTGGAATGAGTGTCAAGAGACAAATTGGATGTAGGAGGGTGAATACGATGACACAAATTTGATTTGGGCATGGTTAAGTATGGGTACTTGTTAATAACATTTAAAATTTGTATCAGCTAAATTAACGATGTCAGAATTTAGCGATCTTGGGCTCGTTGGATTCGTCTCGCCGAGCCGCTCAATTCGACTATAAGTATGTCATATTTGGGTATTATTTCGTCATTCAATTAATGCTTTGAACCTTCTGAATACGCTTTGGACCTTTGATTTGGATCCATTCCGGCTCGGAGCAGTCCGATTTTGATGTCGTTGGGTTCGTCTCTTTGAGATATTCATTTTAACTATAAGTTTGTTGAAATCGGAGTTCAGATCATACCAAATTTAATTTCAAAAGTTTTCAACTTGTATGTGTTTTGAGATTAATGATTGATCAAGTCGATTTTTGGTGACAGATCACTCCTAAATAGCAGCTTATTTCTATAAATTTAGGATTGCATATCAAGAGCAAACTGAATGCACGGACACAGAATAGATTGATCATTTAAACTCAGAACGGCAATAGGAGCAACAATATTTAGATCCAGCGTTGCATTCATGAAAACCAACAAACCAATGCAGAAGCTCGGTATTTGCACAAGAAATAAGAATTTGGTTTTTAGGGAGATAGGTATGCGTAACGATAGGGCTGCAAGCGAACCAAGCGTTCGACGAGCTACTCGATGCTTGGTTTGAGTAAAACTCGTTGTGATCGTTTAACTAACTAAACAAATAAATTTGAACAATATTTTAAATACTCGATCTTTAAATAAACAAGCATGAACATTAATGTGTTCGGTTCATTTATGTTCACGGACAACATCATTTGAAGTTCGTGAACAAGCTCGACATTAAGCTCGATAAAAGCTTGAATGGAGATAAATGCAACATGTAAGCTTCATTTAAGAATATATCCATATAGATTAATCATATTTTTATTTTAAATTGACAACTGCTTTTATTATAAATTTAATTTTCTGAACAAAAGACATTTCACATTTGTACATGTTTGCT